TGGGGTTATGGGTTTTGGAATGCCACAGAGGTTCGGTGCCCTTCTCATCCATCATACCACTGGGTATAGAACCTCCTTGGCAATGTTCTTGATGATGTGGTCATATCCTGTTTGCCAGTTACAGGTAGTAGGTCTGTAAAGTGTGGTCTTTCCTTTTCTGTGCTCTATTCCTTAGAAGCAAGTCCCTAGTAGTCTGCCCTTAAAGCAAGAGGAGAAGGACTGGACTTTCATTTCACCTCTGGAAGAGGGTTTGGGGGCAGGGGTGCTATCTACACGTATTTGGGATTTTTCTCTAAGATTGTTAAATTGATTTTTTGAATCTTATTTTTTTTTCCACTGCCATATCAAATTTATTATTCCAGTGGCACTAATACAGCTGGAGGTGCTCACAGTGACACTGCACAAAGTTTCCTGCCTATTACATCCCTAGAAAAAGAATCCCAGGATTTTCCCTCCTGTGTGTTTTTGTCTTGCTTCTTCATGGTCCATGATGCCAGCTGAGGTTGTCAGTACAGTGAAACCAAACTGGCGGGACGGGAGCAGGTTATTCTGCCATTTTTCTAGATCTTTGAGTTGTACATCAGATCTGGGGCTGATCACTCCACACTTGTTTAACCTGCCCGTGAGGTTCACAACAATTTTCCCCTCTCTGTGATCATCAGTGATTTCAAATTCACCAGCGTAACCATGCTTCATCCTCACAGTGAGAAACTGGACGATGGCTTTGGAGCACGGCCTAATAAGAACCTGGCATTTGCCTCTCTTCTCAGCATTGTTTTTTTTCTCATTAAACTTTTGTTTTAATGGGTCTCAAAATTCTGTGACAGATTTTTGGTCAAGTTGTTTCCATTAAAAAGTACTAATTTTAAAAACTAATAACTTAAAACAGCCACACACACACAGAAATGCTCTTGAGAGCATCTGCCAGGACTTCGTGTGCACCATTATGGTGGCATGGAAAGATGGCAGAGAGTGCGATTTTTTTTTTTTTTTTTTTTTTTGAATCTTAAATCAGCTTTGTGCTTCTGGCTAAACCTCACTTGGTTGCGATATATTTCCTTTTTATGTGTTGCTGGATTACATGTGCTTTTATTTTTTTTTTAAGGAATTTTGTGTCTGTATGAAGAATAATGGTCTGTAATTTTCTTAGAATTTTGTGCAATTTGATTGCTCCATCTTTCAAACTTGTAAATTTTCACTATTTTAAAAAAAAGATTTATTTATTTTGGAAAGAGAGAGAGCGGGGGAGAGTGTGAGTGAGCAATCAGTGGGGAGGGGGCAGAGGGAGAAGGAGAGAGAGAATCTCAAGCAGATTCCCCGATGTGTGCGGAGCCTCATGCAGGGCTTGGTCTCAGGACCCCGAGATCATGACCTGGGCCGAAATCACGAGTCGGATGCTTAACAGACTGGGCCACCCAGGTGCCCCTAAATTTTCACAATCGGTAGAATTAATATTTGTATTTGATTTGTATTTCATGGTATAATAAAGAATTATTCTCTATTAAATATTCTGTAAGCATTAAAAATTTTGGGGAAGTTTTTTAAAACTGTTCTCTATTCCCCCCCCCCCCCCCCGTTTCAGAGAACTACCTGTTTTTTTCCCCTTGGGTTTGGGAAAGAATATTGAATTTTCATTTAAAATGCTGAAATCATAGGTTCATTTCAGAATTATCTGGAGAACTTGAAAATATATGCAGGTCTGGGTCTTCCTTCCCCTTAGACTTTCTAATTCTTTATGTATACCTTTCACCCATGAACAACTCTGGGGTTAGGGGCACTGGTCCCCGCTCAGCTGAAATTCTGTGTGTAACTTTTAACTCCCCAGAACTTAACTACTAAGAGCTTACTGTTGACCAGGAGCTTTACTGATAACAGAAATAGTCAATTAACACCTATTTTGTATGTTATATGTATTATACGCTGTATTCTTACAATAAAGTAAGGTAGAGGAAAGAAAATGCTATTAAGAAAATACATTTACAATACTGTATTTACCCCCCAAAAAATCACATATAAGTGGACCTGTGCATTTCCAACCTGTGTTGTTCAAGGGTCCAACTGTATGTGATAAGATTTTGATAGAGTTGTCTGTTTTTAAGGAACTTTCATGATGATTTTCATGTGTACCCTCTGTTAAGAATTACAATTACATCTTTCAGGTTTTCAAGATAAGTAGTTAAAAATCAAGGCTTTGAGTATTTTTGGCAAAGCCTAATAATGAGATCACAGATATACACACATATTTAACTTCTTACAAAATAGAATCTTAGGATAATTTGATTTTTATGTCACTGACACTGCCCTTCATTGGAGCTTTACTTGTGAATAGAATACTAACTAGTACTTGTTAAAAACTGTGGAGAAAGTCAGCAATTTGGCAGACAGGTTATTTGATTCTGTAAATTATATGGCCAAAAGAGATGCCTTTTTTTTTTTTTTTTTTTGAGCCCAGTGTTTAGTAATCAGTGCCTGAAGGCATGAGTCTAGCTCAGTGAAGGTTGTCAAGTAGTAGGCTGTAGTTGGTGCAAGCGAGGCCGGGCCCTGCTTTGGTGTGAGTTCTGGGCTTGTGTAGTCCTTTGTGTAGTTCAAGGCTTAACTGGACTCTGAGACTTAGACCAGAAGCTTGCATTCCAGGAATTGAATTGCTCAAAAAACTACTTTATGCTGTCCTTTTGCAGTCCTGCCTTCCCTCCATTTCTAATCACTGGCAACCAGTATTATGTTTTCTCTTGGAGAACATCCTGTGAATGGACTCTTGGCAGTGTATTGTGATTGACTTCTCTCATCCCACGTGGCTTTTGCGATTTCACCCCATGTGTGTATCAGTAGCTCATTCTTTGTTATTGCTCATCAGCATTGGATGGATCCAGTTTTATGTATCCGTTCACTTACTGTTGATCCAGTTTTGGTGATCCAAAAGAGAGCATTAAATATTTTCCTACAGGTTTTTTACTTGAACATAAATGATCATTTCTCTTGGGTAAATATCTAGGAATGCGATTGCTGGGTCATAGACTGGATTTGTCTGTCTCTGGTGGGTTGTAGTATTTGTTTCAAAGAAACGATTTTCAACTCATCCTTGTCCTCTTTAGATATCTTAAATGGAGATTTGGATGCAAAATAAGCTTTATTTCAGTCTTTCATGTTTCATGTTAAAACTTGCTTGGAAAGTCTTTGAACTGAAATTATTGTTAATGGTTGAATTAGAAATGACCGTTGTAGGAAGTAGAATCTTTGCTTTATTGGTAGCCATTTCTTTTCTTCCTCTGTGGTCTTGCTACTCAAACTTGTGGTCTCTGGACCAGCGTGTTAGGTTCACCGGGGGCTTGTTAGAAATGCTGAGTCTCAGGCCCTACCATGGACCTGTAGAATCACAATCTGTATTTTAACAGGATTCCCAGTGATGGGTATGAACATTAAATTTGAGAAGCACTGCTCTGGAGCATTATGGAAGTGGGGGAAGAATACTTTGTAAAGGAGTTTACCTTTGAGTGTAGTACAGCATGAACCTAGCTGGGTCCATCATAATATGTTACTCATTTTGGTTTCAGATATTCAGTAAGACAGAAATAATGATCTCAAACCAACAAAATGCCAAGACTTTGGTACTGTAAAATTCTGTGGTAGACTAAATGTCAGAATACTGAAAGGCGGTGGTATCACAGTCATTAGGCTTAAAATCTAGTTTACATTCATCATTTTATCTTCAGGCATTTGAACCCCTGAAGATGTGAGAGACTTGAAGTGTTTAAAGCAACGAGTATGTGCATTTGTAGTTGATCTTTTTGCACAGAAAATGTTGGGAAAAGAATACAAAACAGTTGTATCTTTGGTTTATGTTAAATTTTTTCTTGTGCATTTTCTAATAAAGTAGTTCATCTTCGTTTCTCTAAAGAGTAAAGGACATTTAGAATTATGAATCACGAGAACAAAGGGGCAAATTCTGTTTTCTTTACATGTACAAAAAGTATTTAAATGAACTTGGCGCTCGTACGTCCCTATCTTATCTCACAGGAGGCCACTAAGACCTAGTACAAGGGGAAAAGTGGTCAGTATCAAAGGGAACATCAAGGGTAAAGTAGGAACTGTTGATGGAGAAATTACTTTTAGTTGGGACTGGATTAGGCAATATTTTTGTAGGAATGCTGACATAAAATAAAAGATAAAAAGCTGGTTTTAGTGTGACTGAAAAAGAACAGTTTTGCTGTTGCAGTATTCTTAGCCAGAGGCAGCGATGGCATGAACTCTGGACAGTGGAATAAAGGAGACGTAAGAGTGAGTGAGGACAGATTTTGGAGCCTGAAGAAGCCAGCCAACCTGACAGCGGGTTTGGAGTGTGTGTCTAGAATAAAAGTCATGGTGGACGAGGTCAGGACTTTCTGGAAATGTTGGGCGTGTGTGACAGGAAGGAGTATGCTCTCATCGAGTATAAGTTAAATAACTCATGGAACTCCAGTGTTACTTTAATGAATATATTGAATTTTGCTGGAATCTGGATCAGACTTGAGGCCAGCAGGGCCTTTTTGGATGGAATTCATGTTTCTTGGGCCCCCTGGCTGGCTCAGTTGGTGGAGCATATGACTCTTGATCTCGAGGTGGTAAGTTTGAGCCCTAAGTTGGGCATGGAGCCTACTTAAAAAACTTTTTTTAAAAATAGGAAAAAAAAAATCATGTTTCCTCTCTCAGAAGTATAAGTAACAACAGTATATATTGTATATTGATTACAAGCAGGAATTGAACTTTTTCTAACTTTTTTTTAACGTTTGAGATTATTTGTTCCTGGAATCAGTTTAGTGTTTTACACGGCCTTGTCATGGAACATTTTACAGTATCCTTACATCTTAAATATAAAGAACCTTTATATATATATATATATATATATATATATATATATATATATATATGTTTTTATATATGTATCTATAAAATCATGCTTCACTATTTAAATCAAAAGAATGTGAACTCAGTCTCCTTCCCTTTTTGTTTTGTCTGCGTTGTAGGGAGGTATGGAAACTTTGGAACTACAGAAGGACATAAAAGAAGAATCAGATGAAGAAGATGATGATGATGAAGAATCTGGACGATTACGTTTCAAAACTGAAAGGAAAGAAGGAACAATTATTAGGCTCTCAGATGTAACTAGAGAGAGAAGGAACATTCCAGAAACTTTGGGTAACTTTTTTTTGCCTGTCTCGCATCCTTCTTCACTCCCATTTCAACTTCCTCCATAGTGCTATTATGATGAATCAAATAGGTAGAAACAGTTCTACTTCATAGATTATTGTGCATGCCATCTAGAGAGTGGATGGTCTCTGTGAAGTTAGAGCTGAGTTACGGTGCTGTAAAAGTAATTCCATAAATTCTATAAAGATGACTGTCTTCTGGATTAAAAATGTTTGAATAAAATATTTGATTGCTTATTTTTTTAATAGCTTTTTCTTTTGGAGTTGATGGCCTGGACCTACTCTCATGCCTACCATGCAGGTCTTGGCTGGCTCTGGGAAGGTGGTGTGGGGATGGTGCAGGGCCATTTGATCCCTCTGGAGGGCTGATTCTGGACCAGACTATTTGTATTTTGTACCTGTGAGTGTCATTATAACCATCTTTTTTTCTGTTTCCTTTTTCTCGATGTCATTTCCTCTCCATGTTTTATGAGATAAGGTGACTTGTTTATAGACATAATCAACTGAACATCATTCTGAGCAAACCCTGCTTTTAAAGATCTACAGCAGGCTGTTGCTGATCAGCAGAGAGCCTTTTTCACAATTCACCCTACCCCACCCCTAGTGGTTTCTTTTTTCCAGTGTCCATTGCAAAGCATAAAGCGGTGGTTCTCAAATTTGAGTGAGCAACAGAATCACCTAGAAGGCTTGTTAAAACAGATTCCTGGACCCACTCCCAGCTCTTCTGATTTAGTAGGTTTAGGGTGGTACCCAAGGAAGTTGCATTTCTGATGAGTTACCAGGCGATGCTGCTCCTCTTGTCTGGAACCTGTACTTTAAGAACCACGGGGGTATTGTACTGTATTCTAAGGAAGAGGGGGGCTGGGGAGTGAGAGGACAAGGTTTATCCGCTTTCGGGTCTTGGTCAAAATAAAAATCAAGAAACTACCCATCAGGCACTACATTTACTACTTCTTAAACCATTATTTTGGCCCTTTTCATTTGGAAACATGAGCACGGATCTGTAAGTGGCAGATGTGAATTCTTCCTGAGGACGCCAAGCTCCCAGTGTGTACAAATTAACAGTAGTGAGCCAGTCTTACTTACCATGTTACTTTACTAAGTGAGATTTGTGGAGAGATTGTTAGACTCTTGGCGGTCTCCTTCTTTGCCCTCTGATTTCCTCCTCCTCTAGCTTTTGACCCAAGAATTCCCTGGACTTTTCAGTCAAGTTATGCTGTAAAGTTGCCAGTTGGTCTGAAGCAGGAAAACATGTTTCTAAGAAAGAGGATCTGAAGTTGGCCTTGGGAAAACAGGAGGAGAGGAAAAAACAAAAATGTATCTTTGGGCAGGAGGAATTGTTAACATTATATACTGGAGCAGACCTCTCAGGCTTGGGCTGGAGTAAGATTAACAAGGGAGAGTGGGTGCCCCTGGCTGAACAGTGGAGGGCAGTGGGCAGCATCTTACTAGAGAAGTGGCATAGGGTTGGGGCTGGGGATGAATTCATCACTTTTCTGCGGTTTTGTACTGGCTGTGGCATTGTTACGTAAGTTGGGGAACTTGATATATCAAACCATAATAACTGGGATAGCTACAGGTTCTAAGGATGTGAAATCATTTGGCAAATGCCAGGAAGGGCCTCTCCTGTCTGTAGCCAGCTCCCTGTAGGCCAGGGTGGAGGTCACTTTCCCCCGAACCTCGAGGCTTCTGCCCACCTCCTGTCCTCAGCTGGGATATCTCTCTCTGTGCATTGTCCTTGCCCCAGGCACCGACAGCACATCTTGAGGCGTCCATCCTGCTTGTGTTTATCATCCATGTTGCTTTCATTCCTACATCTCAGGACCTTTGCCTCATTTTGCTCTTTTCAGGGTCATTTGTCCTTTCTGAGAGAAGAGGATGGAAGGGGTTAGTGGTAGGCAAGCCAGAGCCTTTAAATACAAGGGAAGAGAGTCTGGAGGCAGAGGGGCTGTAAGCATAAACAGTTTGGACATTTTTGCCATTCTTTTAAACATTAAGAAGTAATGCATTCGTGTAGATTTGGCCAGGTAATAGGGCAAGTGGAAATGGTGCTTAAATGTGTCTTTCTCTGCTCCATATGAGTGAGCCCTGACATAAGCAAGCTTAGTATTTGAAACACGAGCTTTCTAGTAACTCAGTTAGGCTTATTCCCAGCACAAAAGGGATTTTTCTGTCCATTTACAGATTGGTTTCCTAAAACAGTATGCTCTCTCATTACCCTGACCCCACTCCCACCCACCAACAAAAGGTTAGTTTTACATATAAGAAAATACTGATTGAGAAAGAGAAGCTGCTACAGTATTTGGTAAACTAGAAATCTGCATAAGTTTTACCCATCAGTTTATTTGTGCGCTCCTGGTGATAAGAGATATCAGTTTCAGGTTCTGTATAGAAATACTTAGATTCATTTGACTGTATAAAGCTGTTTACCCACTTTTTGTAATGGGATTAAAATATCTTGCTACCAGAGTCCTTACGTCGTCTCATATGTTACATATTTCTTGACAAATGATGTCTTTTAACATTTTGAATACAAATGAAAATGGTTTTGTTATATCATTGATTAATGTTGAGAACCTTCCACTCTTTAAAAAGAAGACTGAAGTCATGGCTCTGGCATCCCCCGCTACTGACCCTTTGGTCTGCATGTGGGTAGTGAGTTCCCTTCAGAACCTACAAGGGTGTTGTTGGGTCTCTCTTAGGTGTTCTCGAATTCACATCAGGGATGCTGTCCTTCAGTGGGCTGACCACGGATTTGTATACAGCTACAGAACCTGCTACACAGTCGCTGATGTGTATTTTGAATTCAAGTAGAATTTTGGGCTTTCACGTAGGTTAAGATCTTAAGTAAGGAGCTCAACCAGCATTCTGGGAGCTAATAAGCCTTTCAGAAAATGTGACTAAATTTTCTCAGTTTCCCTGAGGGTGGTACAAAACCACATGCTTAGCAGATAGATTCGGTCTTTCCGTACAGAGGATGCCTGGGGGTTTAAGGGCTTCACTCTCTTGTGGAACCCAGCTGAGAAGGGTTTCTAGAACTGATTTGTGTAAGGGAGTGATGTATTTTGAATGGAAATGTCAAAAGCCATCTCTAAAAAGTAGGTGTCAGGGACTGGTTTTTCTAAAGTCTCAGCGCAGAAGTTCAGAACTGTTAGTTCTTTGGCCCTAGGAGGTGGACCTGAGATTCTCTTTGAGAGCAGTACGTGCAGTACCCGGAAGACTACATTCATGTTAGTTAGGCATTTTTTATCCATTAGTCTGTGAGTGGGCATCTAGATTTTGCAATATTCTAAATTTCATTGGCACATGTAATACGTTAAGTTGTATTTTACTGCTTTAACCTAAAGAACAGTCTTATCATGTCCACATAATGTTCTCTTGAAATAATATCCTTAATTTTGTTTTTAAGACCCAAGGATCTGTGGGAAGAATATTTTCATCTAGTAATAAACAGTTCAAGATTGATAGTGGCAGCAGTAGGATCCTGCCTTCAGTTTACACAGTGGGTGCTTGTATTACAAGCAAGGTTTTTTACAAATTGCTTGATTCAAATTCTCTTGTTAAAAAAAATGCAGACTATCATTTGTTATTTTTATTTTGCCAAACAAGCTGTGTATTCTCTAAATATTTATTCATTATGTATTATTCCAGCTATTATAAGAATTATTTGTATGCAAGTGTTTTTCTTAAGCACGTTTTAGGAAAGGACAATACAGTGTAAAACTTTGTTACATTGAGCTATAAGCACGTTTTTAGGAAAGGACAATACAGTGTAAAACTTTGTTACATTGAGCTATAAGCACGTTTTAGGAAAGGACAATACAGTGTAAAACTTTGTTACATTGAGCTATATCTCTTTACTTTAGAATATGGACATAGTTCAGAAAACACTTAAGGGGAAATTAACATTTCAGTTGAAGTTACAAATGTAATTTCCATCCTGTCATATTTTGGTGACCTTTTGTGACAGCTTGTCTCAATTGGAGGAAAGCATTTTTACTTGCTGATTAAAGATGTCATTTGAAACCATTTTATTACTGGGGATAGTGAAATTAATCTTGACACTTAGAACCACTAGAAAAATAATTGCTGATTCACCGCATAAAATGTGTATGTGAACCAATCATGTAGTCAAGATTAGAGTAAAATTCTGTGCTTGTTAAGAGGAGATTAAATTTTCTTTTGAATGGGGTCTAGATTTATTTGAAGGGGAGGGGAATAGCATAGAAACAATATCAAGAAAATGAAATGTGGCTTAGAGATTTTGGAAGAGTTTGGAGATGATTAGTGAATCCAGGGTAGAAGATGAACTGGTAATGTTTAAAATTTGCCCTTCACTGTGGAAGAAGGTGTAAGAATGTCTCTCGGGATTCAGTGAGACCTTTAGAAGGTGTATATTTGTTAATGAAAGATATCACAATTCAGATAATATTTTAAAATAAAGGAACCGTATATGAATAAGTCAGCTTTTCTCTTTTAGGAATTTAGAATAATGTGCTAACTGAAGTTTTTTAGGGCCAGAGTCCGTGTTTTTTTTGTGTCCTTAAAGCATTGGTCAGAGAGGTGAGCATCTCCTGGGTGTCCCACAAGCATTTGCATTAATGAGTTTTTTCTTCTGTGATTTGCTCTCATCTGATATCACTTCCATGTCAGACTGCATGGATAGAAGGCTTTTTTCACACAGTAAAGGTCTTTTTTGATAAATCTGAAATGATGAGTTTTCCATTGTATGAAATTAATTGATTTCCGAGTGTTTTCATTAATAGTTTGTTTACGTCAGAACAAGCAGGAATGCGTTCTATTTCTTCACTTGGAGTCTGTGTGCCGCCGCGCACCCGTCCTGCTTGTACTGGTCTCACGTGGCCATCGCGCCGGCGTGGCGTCGGCCTGGCCGAGCCCACTCCTCGCCGGTGCAGCCCGCCAGCCATGAGGAAGGGATCACAGCAGCTTGAGGGCTGTGTGAAGTCGGGCCCCGGCCCCTTCCTTTTAGCTTCCCTCTGCACATTTTTGTGGTTTCAAGTGAAAATACCATGGCTCCTGTGCCTCACTACACGGTACGCAGGAGGGGCGTGTCTTCATTTAACAGGCGTTCATGTAAGGGGCTGTGAGTGTCGCTGGCTGGACCCTGCTTGCTGCCGCCAGTCTAGTTCTCTCCTGGGGGGTGAGGCACTTGCTGTTTCGGGGTGTCTGGTTATGTGTGTCTTCCCTGTTTTTCCCCTGTAAATCTAGTTTAGGCTATTTGAAGGTATCTAACATACATGCATTTTTTCAAATAGAGCTTTCAGCGGAAGCCAAAGCTGCATTGCTTGAATTCGAAGAAAGAGAGCGGCAGCATAAGCAGGGGCGCTATGGTTCGCGGCGGGGAGGAAGGAGAGGAGGCTCTGTGGTGTGCCGTGGAATGGGGGACCAGAGGAGAGAGAGCAGCGAGCGAGCGAGAATAAAAGATCACAGACCTGCCCTGCTTCCGACACAGCCTCCTGGCCTGGTAATGTCTAGTTTTATTGTGATGGCCCAAGACTTTAGGGCAAATGAAACACATGAAAATGTGCCTTTGTGGGTTTCATACTTGGTGTGTATCTCCTAGTCTGAAATGAAGGTTTCGTAGTAGGAGTAACAGCGAAAGTTTCTTTATAATGCGATCTCACCAGTGGTCTTGTAAATTCATTCCTCCTGGTATTCGAGTAGTACAAGAGTTCCGTACACAGCTACTTACGGAGAAGGGAGTAACGAGAGGCTTAAGTCTTCAAGTGACAGGAACCACAGAGGGGCCTGGCTTCTGTCCTCTCCCTTCTTGGAGCCAACTGCTTGTTCCTGAGCACCCCTACTCGAAACGGTGGCCGTGTCACGTGTAGAATCCAGGCGGCGGTGTGTGTTTTTTCAAAATAGTCTTTCCTTTATACTGTTTACCAGAGGTTTCTCCTCAAATATAGCGATTTCTCGTAGAATAACTGTCCTGTCCTGTCCATAATCATCTCCTTGGAATTTCAGCTCAATTTGCATTTCCTGTGCCTTTCAAAGATGAGATATCGCAGAAGCAAAGAAAGGAATTACAGTGATCTTTATGGTCTTTTGGTTAGCTTTAGGATTTTATGGCTCTTTCCTTTAGAACTCAGTCTCCATCTACCACATGTCCCTCCTACATTTTTATCTGAATTTAGGGGAAAGTCACACTTTGCCTCTTTGTAGAAATACCTCATGTTAGGATGCCTTCACTTGTGAAATAAGGAAGAGCAGCTGTTTTCATTCTTAAGCTTCTCACGTAGCAGAAAGGCTGGACCTTTCGTTTCTTCTTTTTCTTCCCTGCTCCATACCCTCACCCCTAGCCTCCACTTGCCATGTATTGAGCAGCCAGCTTGGTTATTTTGGCCTTGGAGGAGAGGGGGGCGGCCACACAGGGGGACCTGTTTTTGTGTAATTGTGTCTCTGTGATCCTGGAAAGGTAACTTTTCTTATCCACAAAGAGAGGAGGTGTGCCCAGCCAGCCTCCTGCAAGAGAGGCTGGTCTGAGACGAACTGTGAGCGCTTCAACATTGTTAGCCAAGTGGAAGATGGCCTGGGCCATAGACGGTTTGCTTTTGTGTCTCCAGAATTCTCACGGCCGAGGTGGGCTCTGCAGCTCACTGTGAGCTGGGGATAAGCCTGTGGCGTGACCTGCTCGGCCTCCTGGTGCTCTGGGCTGTGAGCTCTCTGCCACCTTTGCTAGTCGTGGTGTTTTACAGTTTCACTTTACTGGGAGGACCAAAGCTTTCGGAGATGAACTTAACCTTGCCTCCCACCTGTGTCTGTCCTCGGACCACAAACGCTCTTGATCCTGGTTACTCGCCACCCAGGAGCTGTCTCTCTGCTCGACTCTCCAGAGTTCTGGGAATGATATTCTTTCTCACGTCCTTGCATCAGTGCATGTTCTCCTAGGTCGGTCCCTTGCTGCCTGGACCCTGCTCCCTTCACTTCTTCCTGAGGGTGCTCTGAGAATCGCTGCCTCCCCTCTGCTGGTCCTTCCTGCCGTGCTCTGGCGCCTCGGGCATCCTGAGCTCCTGCGCCCTGAGCCTCTCCTTCGTAGGGCTGCGCTGTGCTCTCCTTCCTCTGTCTCCTTCAGCTACCTTCTTGTCAGCCCTCCTTTGGGTTAGAGCTCTTGCGGGGGGGCATCGCCTTCCTGCCACCGGCCCTCTCTGTTCAAGTCTGAGTCTCCAGCCCTCACCTCTTGCCAGCTCTGCGTTCCCCATGTGCTTTCTAGCTGTCCCGGGCCTCTCCACACGGGTGGCCTACAGCCCCTAACCTCACTTGTTTCAGACATGGGATTTCCTTCAGACGCCTTTGTGTTCTGGAGTGGATGACCCTGCATTATGTTCACTGTCAGTTCAATTCAGATCTGACTCAGACGATCCTCTGTTGGTGGTGATAAGACGGGATCCCTAACTGTCCTGTGCACAGGGGCACGTTTCACTTGCCACGAGTTAGAAGAGGGAACGCGCTGGGTTCTCGGAGCACACGTAGCTGTGGATGTAGGCTGACCCTGGAATCTCTGGAAAAGTCCTCTCTGAGACCAAGGCCACAGACGGTTTGCTTTCAGAGTTCTCTTTGTGTCTCTGAAAGGTCTCTTCCCTGTTGCTCTTGGTCCAGCCGTGGCCGTTTCTTCCATTTGGCTCTTGCCGCGGCCTGCTGAGCGGTCTGTCTCAGTCGCTGCTCGCCGCGTGCGCCGTGTCACCGGCCGGAAGCCCTCTTCGTACCCGTGCCGTGTGCCGGGGCGGCGGGGCCTGCGGTGGCCCTGGGGTTCGGAAGCCTGTGTCATTCGGCACCTTGGCAGGGACGGTGGCCCGCTGTGTTAGACCACGTGGTCTGCAGAGCGGCACTGCCTCTGCTGCTTAGCGTGGCCAGTCTCGGGCGTGGCCACGAGGAGGACTTGTGGAACCAGGTGGTCTGGATTCTCCTCCCAGGGCTTCTGCTTACCGGCTGCCTGATGTGTAAGAGCAGGGTCGTCACAAGGACCCCCTTCAGCGCGCTGTCAGGGGGAAGCCAGTTACTTTGCGCTCGGACCTTGCGATGGGTGCTTAACGACATGGGGTGGCCCTGCGCTCGGCGGGCACTGCGCTTGTGGCTGCTTCCCTCCCCTCGGGAATGTCGTCTGAGCGGACCACCCCAGGACCCCTGACTGCTTTGGGTGTCTGTCTTCACACCCTTGTCTCCGTCCGTCTTCTGTCTCCGTGGCTTTGGCCACCTGCTCTCCTGCTTTCCCCAGCAGGTGTGTCTCTGCCCCTTTCCCTCCTCCTTTCTCCCACCCCCTCGGGGGAGAGCTAGGCTCTTCCCGGAGGCCTGGTGTCCGGCACGGCTGCTTGTGCCCATCCCGGCTTTCTTCCCAGGTTTTCTGAGGAGGAGAAGCAGGCCTGGCTGCAGGGAGGCCGAGGGCCGCTTGGGCTCTGCCTGCAGCGCAGTGCTTGGCTCGCTCTGGGCGGTTCGGTTGACTGAACCCAAAGTTTTTAAACCTTTGGAATCCATGCGCGTTGTTTTGAGGCCACGATTTTTCCCTCTCTGCCCTGAGATTGGGTCACGTTGTGAGGCGGTGGTGCTCGCTGGGAACGGGCAGTGTGGCTTACCGGCCCCGCTGTTTCGTCTGGGCTGTCGCTGGGAACGTACTTCTCAGCCGTACGCTTACTGTCGAGCCAGCGTGAGACTGTAAGGCGGTAGCTCTCCTTTACTCTTCTTCTAAATGTTGATTTCTGTGAATTTGTCTCTCTTCCTTCGTGGTTTTCAGACACACTCTCCAAGACTGATTCCCCCTCCGCAGCCTCAGCCGCCACCGCCGCCGCCGCCGCCACCGCCCGCACAGCAGCAGCCCATCCGAAGTCTGTTCCAGCAGCAGCAGCTGCAGCCCCTGCTCCCCCTGCAGCACCCACACCACGCCTCGCCACCCCCGGGGGTGCATGTGCCGCCCCAGATGGAGGCCCCGAGGGGGATGATGACCCCGCCCCCCGTGACCCCGCAGCAGCCCAAGAACATACACATCAACCCCCACTTCAAAGGGGCGGTGGTGACGCCCGTCCAAGGTACGTGTCTCTTCTGCTGTCGGAAAGCCGCAGGCTCCTGCGGCCAGGCCGTTCTCACGAGCAGGTCTGTAAGGACGGCTTGGCTTCTCTGCTTCACCCTAACCCCCAGACACGTGCCCGCTCGATGGGCCGAGCTCAGTTACTCAAGAATTTGTACCTCTTATGATGTGGTGGAAAGCACTGAGCAACCTCTAAATTTCAAAGGCAGCGGAGGTCATTGTGCAAGTGCCCGAGTTGGTATTCTTCATACGTCCTCTAGTGGGAGTGTTTGCGCAGTGAGTGCATCCCACGCAGTATGTGCTAGCTGTCATTTTCAGTGTGTAACCGCCGGTGTTACTACAGACACATGTTGCTGAAGCTAGCAGGCCCCTTTGGAGCAGAGGATATGGAGCATATCTTCATGCATCTGTTGAGCACACGTTGAGGTATTTCTCTGTCTCTGGTGTTTGAAGTACATTGCTGACAAACAACAGATAAAGCTTTCTGCAGTGGTGACCTTGCTTCCTGGCAGAGACGGGCAGTGAGCAAGAGATGTCACAGGAAGAATGTGTGCAGCCTGTTAGCGGACAGAGAGAGAGCAGAGCAAGGGCCTGGGGTCGACTGTGTAACTTGGGAGACGAGGGTGGGACTTGTTGTAGATGTCAGAGTTGGAGGAGGTTGCAGAGCCAGGGATGTCACTGTTTCAGGGGAGAGTATCCCAGGCAGAGGGATCAGCAAGAGACGGTGAGACCATGCCTTGAGTGTTCCAGAAACCAAAAAGATGACATGACATAAGTGGAATGATAAGAGCAGAGAGGAACCATGGGACCTGCGTCACGTAAGACCTCAAGCCCCTCTAAGAGCCATGGCTTTTTCTCTGAGCAAAATGGGCTGTGACTGGAGGAGTTTAAGGAGAGACATGATCCGGTTTCTCTCTTAAAAGGGTCATTCTTGCTGCCCTTTTGGGAATGGGCTCTAGGGGCCAGGGTGAAAGCCGGCGTTGGGCCGGGGAAGAGGACACTCGTGCGGGCAGCACATGGTAGTGGCTCAGACTGGGGTGACGGCAGTGATGGTGGAAAGCCGTCAGATGCTAGATAGAGTTGGGCACAGACCCAGCAGGATGTGGTGATGGACTGGATGTGGGTGTGTGGGAGGGAGAAGGCAGGAATGATGACAAGGGGGTCTAGCATTTGAAGGACGGACTTGCCGCCACTTGTGATGGGGAGACTGATTTTTGCGGGGGGAAGGCCCGAAGTTCTGTTCCGGATGTGCTACATTTTAGGTGCCAGCGAGACCTGTGGGTGGAGGTGTCTGGTATACAGGTATAGTAAGAGTTCGGACGAGGGGGGTCTAGGCTCAAGTACAAGTTGTGGGGTGATTGGCACACAGGCAAGTCTAGGGCCTGCACCCAGTGAGAGCCCCAAAGGAGGGAAGTGAAAGTGTAGGGAGAGCCTGAGGCCTGGAACCTGGACAGCTGGGTGCCCTGCAGGGGGCAGGAAGGAGGAAGCCGAAAGAGTTGTGGGGGGCAAGTCGTGGAGGAAAGTGGCCTCTTCGGACAGGGCGGTGGGGTGGCCTGCAGGCTGACAACTGCCCTTAGCAGAGGGGCCTTGGGGATTTTGACAGGTGGTTGTGGTATCAGGGGGAAGGTGCCTGCCTCACTTAGGTGGGCGGGGGAGAGATTGGGGGCATGGAAATGGGAGGGCATTGCATTGATGGTCTTTGAAGGTGTTTTGCTAAAACAGAAGTTGGATGGTAATGGGTGGGAGGAAGTGGGCTTGAGAGAAAATTTCTTATTTCCAGATGGGAACACCAGCAGCTCCTTGAGGAGGAGAGAACTCATGGATGCAGGCGAGGGGGAACTGGTCCTCGCCAGGACCTGGCTCCCAGCGGTGGAACTGGTCCTCGCTGGGAGGCTCCCAGTGGCAGGGCTGTGCATGGCGGGACACAGGGGAGGAGGAGTGTTGCAGGTCTGAGGAGGGGAGAGAAGGTATGGAGTCTCCGTGTAGGGGAGTGGATGGGCTGGTGGGGGACAGTAGGCTGTGTTGAAGCCCCCTTGAGCTGTGTGGTGGTGAACTTGGCATCAGATCACAGTGTGGGTATGTGGGATGGACACAGTTTTGCATTTGCCAGAATCCAGGTGTTGACAGCAGTAGCAGTGGCATTGCTTGTCACAGGTGAAAAGGAGGAGCGGTCACTGGGAGAGAGTGAGGTGGCGAGGTCAAAGGGAGCTGCATAGAGATTGTGGAAACGTGGGTCACTGACGACGGCCAGGTCTTGGACGTGGCCGCAGAGGGATGGAGGACGGTAGTCAGGGACCCAGGAGGCCAGGTACGGGAAGCATGGTCTCTGTGAAGACTAAAGACAGGGCTGGAGACAGTGGTCAGACAGGAGCTGAACTCTGGGGCGCGGGAGCCGCAGTTGGGCCAGTAGACGGACAGCCACTGGGGGTAGGCGTGACCCATCGGGTGACGCGAGAGCCAGAGCTGGGGTCTGAAACAGCACTGACAGCCCTGAGGGCCTCCGGCCCACCTGCAGAGCCGGCAGGAGGAAAACAGCCTCCTCTTTGGGAGCGTTCGGTTTCCCTTTGAGCAAGAAGAGGGTGGCTGAGGCCCCCATGGGCTCCGCTGACACTGAACCTGGAATCCCATAGTTGCAGAAGTTGGGGAGAAGCCGGAGATGGGACTTGAAGTGTGGGTGGAGGCACTCTGAGACCGAGCTGTGCCCTTGGAGCACATCTGGGAGGGTGATGGCGGCGGGCTGGCCTCGGGCGTGTTCCGGGAGACCGCTCCTGTTTTACACACCTGGGAGGCAGAGGCAGAGCGGGTCCCGACCGCCGCGCCCCCCCCCCCCCCCCCCCCGGGCCGGCTCCACCTGTCCCCACCTCCTACTGGACTCTCTTCCTGGCCGCCGCCTCCGCCGGGGCTCTGCGCTCCTGAGGCACGCAGTGCGGCTGCCGCGCTCCCTGCCGTCGTCCAGTGAGTGGCGCCCGGCCTGTGTCTCCCGCAGCAGCAGCTGCGGGATGCACAAACCCCCACATGAGAGGGGCCCTGGCCACAGTGGCTTCCCAGGACGGGCACCTGCAGTCGGTGTTGGTTTTCAGAGAAATTTTACTGAGGTCAGCATCTGTTACTGTGTATTTCCTCATAAACACGGAATGGAAAACTGGCAGTTGGTAGGGCGTGCGGACTTCCTGTAGCCTAATACAAACAAATAGTATTAGAAGTCCAGAGTGGGAAAGCTCCCAGGAAACCCCAGGACGTCTTCCAGATATGAAAACAGTGTGCCTTAACAAAAAGTCAGCAGCCTGACAGAGAATGCAGGCCTTGCGCCGCAAAGCTCATCGTTCAGTAAATGTAAGATCAGCTCTCTGACAATAGTTTTTACACTCTTCGAACCGGCTCAGTGATTTTTCACCATGAAGCTGGCTGCTACAGAGCCCACGTTCCTTCTCGTTGGCGTACCTTTGATCTTGAGCTAGGCTGATGCGGGAGGGAGCGCAGCCCTGTCCTGCCTGGTTGTACACGCAGGGCGCCGTTGAAGAGTCAAGTGTCCGTAGTAAATGAGCGAGCTCTTCCTGAGGGAGGCTGCCAGTGTCTGCGTGTCTCCTGTGCAGAGGGTGTCTGAGACCCCAGGGTCTCAGAGCCACAGGCCGTTGAAAGGTACATGAAAATGTTTTTTAAAAAGTAGCCGCGCAGGCACGTCTCTTCCTGATGGCACACGTTTTCAAGGATGAAGAGGGTTCCATCATATTATAATTAACCAGTTTTGATGGAAATTTAACTTGTTTTCTAGATTTTTCCGTATTAAACTGTTGTAATGAATTAAAAACTTACTCAGTTTAGTCCATTAAATAACATGGAACAACAGAAAGATAAATGTTGAATATCAAATATTCCTAGTACAGGGTTCAGCTAGAATGGTGTGTTACCATTACAAGTATCAAATTCTTCTGCTCACGGCGCAGAGGAAGGCAGCTAGTTGGAAGTGTCCCCTGCTCACAAGCCCGGGAGACTGCAGAGCCCCCGAGGGACACTTGGCAGAGGCTTTGGCAGTCTGACCGAGGCCCTCTCTCCCGGCCTGATTTCTGATCTGCCCCTCTCACACTGTCCTTAGGTGCTCTCGTTTGTCAACTTTCGTTCTTTTTCCCTTCTTTTCTTTTTTGTTGCTTTTTACGGTTTACTTTAAAAAAGAAAAGAAAAGCAAGCCAACTAACCAGAGGCTTCTGTGTAAGAAATCTGTTAATTATAATCAGATTCCTTCCCAGAGATCGCTCCTAGCTTTCTTGCTCTCATTCCCCCCAGTTAAAGAAACCTGTTTTTTTTTTTTAATCTTTTTGTTGTATTTGAGGTTTCTGACAGGAATTGATGTTTAAATGCCAAGTTTAAAAATTAGTGGCACATAGTCTTGAATGTCTGGGTACTTTATATTTGGTACTTAATTTAAAAACCATCACCTTTATATTGTTTAATATGTAGTTTATTTCTCCTTCGCTTTCGTTACAATCTTTTGAGGTCAGAGATACTCTAATTGTTTCTCCACTTCACAATCTACTGTTTTGCTTCAGATAAATTGATGAACTCCTCCCCCTCCCCCAGTGCCTTTTAGGAGGCTGTATAGGCTTGGGGGCTGGATCCTGTTCTATGTAAAGTCTCTCAAATTGACCTCATTCTGAAATTTCGACTTACTGGATTAGGCTCGCTCTCGCGCGTGCTCTCTCTCTCTCTCTCTCTCAGGACTTCTGCCATTTTACATTTTATCCAGGTAAGTTTCTTTTAGCCACACCTTGTGTTTGATGGGTCGTGACTCTGCTTCAAAAACAGTCACTTTAAATTGAACCTGAGGAAGTTTGACCCTCATTATAAGGCTTGATGTCTAGAGTTCCTTGAGTACCTATAGTAAATAAAATTTATCTTAGTGTTCTGTTTTTAAAGTAATTTTAACCTTTAAGCTGTATAATTTCTCTATTTCTTATTCACCAGACATTTTTTAAATTAAAAATTTGGTATGTGATATTATTATTTTTTTATTTTCTCTGTATCATGTGGCTGGTTGTTCTCTGTGCATGTCTGTTTCTAATCTCTTATAAGGACACCAGTCACACTGGATCAGGGCCCACCCACATGACCTTATTTTACTGTAATCACCTCTTTGAAGGTCTGTAGCCCAAGTCCAGTCCTGTTCTGAGGGACTGGGGGTTGGGACTTCAGCATACACATTTGGGAGGGGGCCACAGTTCAGCCCGTAACACCTGACCACCTGAGAGCTTCCTACATGCATCTGGCAGCAGGTTTTAATGAAAGATAACAACGTACCACCTGTAGCAGTCCCTAGGGGGGTGGTGGTTTGTTTTTGTTGTTGTTTTTTTCCCTCCAAAATCTAGATCAGTACAATGCATATGTTTTAAGTAACTTGAGCATACCTTATTTAGCCCCAGGGTATAAAACTAACATGTGGCTTCTTCCCTAGTATAAAATGTCTGTTTTAAAATTATGATTTTGTGTTCTTCCGGTAGATGGATTGGAGTTCTGCTTGTTTAAAAACAAAACCAAACCGAAAGTCTTGGCATAGTAGATTGTTCTTTGTAACACTGCCATGGGTATGTGTGTTTTCCTCCCCTCCCCCCATGATTCTAGAAGATTTAGATTTAAATTTGTATTTGATTGGAGTCAGAAACCATAACTGGAGTAGATAGTCTGGATAACTGGGTGATGAATGTGAAACTTAAGGCCATTTTTATTTTAGAGGAGTAAGCTCTTTTTTTATTGCAAAACATTTTAGTTCTAAATAGGAATTCCCTGCTGAAATTTCAGCTTCTGCATATGCCTTTGTACGCTGGCAAGCCTTCTGCTCTCCCCTTCCCTTGTATGGGATTTAGGTTAAGTGTAAACTTAATATATTACGTGTATTTTACACATGGTATATATTTTTTATTAAACTTAACATACTGTGTTCCTTTCTCAGTGGGTTTGTTTTTGAAGTAAACGGTGTTTGTAACCTAAGGTGTTTTCTTCCTAGTGCCCTTGCTGCCAGTCCCGAGCCAGCCGAGACCTGCTGTGGGGCCCCAGAGATTCCCAGTGAGTAGCAGCTGCTCCTTCTGCTCTGATAGGGATGAGCATATATTTACTAAGAAATATTAATACAGCAAATACAAGTGGTTCCAACTAAATATAAGTTTAAAGATTTGTAAATATTGACAATAATTTTTGCAGTGGAAAATGTTTGTTAAAAGCTTAAGGTCAGTGGATTTTTGAGAATGGAATTAATTTTGTTTAACTGTAAAAGTGTTGAATCAGGATCATACAGCGCCTTTCATCTTAAAGAGTATGAATTTTGATTTCATTATTGCCGCACGTTAAGTGAGAAAGGGCCTTGCTTTATTATCATGTGTGCATGCACGCATGCACGTGTGAATTTGTGTACATGTGGGTATGTGTGTGAAATTCTAGGGAATAATAATGAATTCTCGGGGTGCCCGGGTGGCACAGTTGGTTAAGCGTCTGACCCTTGGTTTCAGCTCAGGTCATGATCTCAGGGTCCTGGGATTGAGCCCCGTGTTGGACTCCGCACTCAGCCTTAGGATTCTCTCTCCCTTTGCAACCCCCCCCCAGTGCTCATGCATATGCTGTCTCTCAAATAAATAAATCAGTCTTTAAAAAAAAAAACGGTGATCTCTACTTGCTTAAAAAAAAAGGCAGACAACCAAACCTCAAAAGTCTTAATGAGCTCTTGGTTTTATAGTTTAAAATGAAGGTTTTCTCTTTAAAGTATCTTTACAAGAAAGTACAGATTCTGCCCCCTCCATACTTTGGTATGCTTTCCTTCACTTTATCCATTCTTCTAATACATTCTAACTAGAAGAAAAATGTCTATTAAATAGTTGTACCTGCTTAAATAAATTTCTTTTTTTTTTTTGAGTTTGGGGTTAGATTTATTATTAGTTCTTGGTTTTGTTAAATCAGTGAGGACTTGTTCTTTTTATAGTGTTGAAAAAAAAATGGACCAGATCATAAAATTTTAGTATCATTTTTATGTAAAACAGATAAAGTTTTTGTTGAGACTGAATAATCTCTGATTTCAGGAAATATCTAAAAGACTGTTGGACCCTAGCTTTGACACTTAAGTAGATAGCTTATTTATTATAAGGCATTTAGCAAGGAAGTTTTAATGAAGGCTCTAGGTGTATAGTCAGATGATTATTCAAAAATAAAATCAGTATTGGATTTAAAGTTCAGAGTATTTTTTAGAAACGTCTTTGATTTGTAGTTATTTATGAATTATAATATGTTTTCTAAAACTGATTCTGAATGGGTTTATTACCTCATATTAACTAATTTTTCCTTTAAATTATGAAGTGTACTTAAAAACTAGGTTTTTTAAATTAAGCGGTATTTATTGAGTACAGTTCTCTGTTCAAAGCACTTGTTATAACAGTGAGGGTTTATTAATTGCATGGTCCAGTGATAAGCACATGTGATTTAGTTGTTTGTTAGATACATTTTTTCTGGTGAAGTAGTTTAACTGCTAGTTACTATATTTTAAGTTCTGATATTTTAAGTACTTTTTGCTGTTTTTCAGAAATGTAAGCAGCTGTGTTATAATCATTATTAGACTTATTTTTGTGTTTTGTTTGCATTATGGAGATAAAATTTGATCTGAAAACCAATTGTAGTTTAAGAAGAACAAAGCAGTTTTGTATGTACTTGATATTTTTATAAAAATGTGTTTAATAATTAATCATTTGTAATTTTCATCTACTTCTATTTTTCCATTCTGCAAATATAATTTTGTCTAATCCTAGATGAAGAAGCAAACCGCATAATACTGGAGGATAAGGGGATCATAGAAGAAAGTTTCTTTCTCTCTTTTTTAAAGGTTTATTTATTTTAGAGAGCATGGTTTCTCTCTCTCTCTCCCTTTGCCCACCCCGCTGTACAGAGCCCTACTTGCCCTGTGCCCAGGGCGGCGTGGGCAAAGGGAGAGAGAGAGAGAGAGCAGCAGAGTCCACACTGAGCACAGAGCCTGACACGGGGCTCAGTCCCACGACCTGAGATCGTGACCTGAGCTGAAATCCAGAGTCAGATGCTTAACTTGCTGAGCCACCCTGGGGCCCTTAAAAGGATATTTCTTTGAGAAATTGAACTTACTATTTTGTTTTATTTTTTTTAATTTTACGTTTAAGTGGTCTCTACACACGGCGTGGGGCTCGAACGCACAACTCTCGAGACCAAGTTACACACTCCACTGATGGAGCCAGCCACGCACCCTGAAATTGTGAACTTATTTTTAAGTTATATAGTCCTCTGGGGATAGTAAACACTGTTGAACTGCTTTTGGAAGAGTTTTCTGCAAGGTGTGACGTCTGGTTTTGTTGTTATTTTTGAGATGGGCAGTATGTGCGGCTGGCACGAGGTGGCTGGGCTACACCGAAGTTGGTGCTACGGTAGGAGACAAGGAGCTCACTTGTCTGTCGCTGTCTTACACGTCTTGTACCTTTTGTTAAGTCCCAAATGCTGGATCTTAAGCTGCAGTTACAGTGTACCTGTGGTCTTAAAAGTGCAGTGCTCTACTTATATCTGTAGTCGGTCTTCCTTAAAGAACGTAATCAGATGTGGAATCTATTTTTTAAAAAATAGACGTGAGCTGGGGGTGCCCGGCGGGCTCAGTCAGTGTAGCATGCAGCTTCTGCTCTTGGGGTTGTGAGTTGGAGCCCCACGGTGGGCGTAGAGATGACGTAAAAATTTCTTTTTTTTAAAAAAACACAGAAAAGGTAGTGTGTTTGAAAAAGTGCATTAAAATATCATTAAGAAAGGGGACCCACTTTGGGCCATCTCCTGTTGTTTTACATAGACCAGATCTTTATTACTGTTTTTTCCTTTTCTACTAGGTTGAACTTGGTTGCTGTCAGTGTAAATGTAGTTTTGTGAGCATGTGAGTTTCTCCTTCATGCCAAGTGCTTCTGCCTAGTGCTGGTCCTAAACCATAAAACAGACTAGCATAGTTCAGTGAAGCCAGTTTTGGCCTGAGTAAAATTATAAAACTAGTGGGGATAGTATTGCTGTGTTTTAACAAAGACCCTTGGAGATTACTTACTGATGGCAGTTTGCCCTGGGGTCTGCCTGTTACTTTCGCTAAACTGAATTTTGCTTTGTAAGATGACCCTCAGACTGATAAAACATTCACGTTAGGAAGCCTAATTTCAGAATGATCATGGAGTCTGTTCGAATCAGTAGTCTTCCTTGGCACACAAACAGATGTGAATTACACTGATCTGTTGAGCAAAGTGAAGTTCACTGCAGTCTTGGAGCAAGATCTCTCAGTACTAATTTTCTGTGCCACTTATTCAACCGCTATTTATCTGCACTTTGTGCACAAGGCCCAGGGCTAGGCCAGCTCTACTGGGCACAGGGCGAGTAGGACTCTGTACAGAAGCTGATCTGCAGACATAGATCAGGGACTCCTGAAGCTGTCGGCAGCAGCTCCACCTATCCTAGGAGCAGTGGGGATTCATTAACGGAGCTTAGGCTGGGGAAAGACAGGATTGCAGTGAACTTCACTTTGCTTAGTACATTTCTGTAATTCACATCCTTTTGTGTGAGAAGGACGTCTACTGACTCAGACTCCATGATGAACCCTACATAAAATGAGTAGTTTGGAGAAAGGGGTATGTAATTTAGTTTTTTACTTGTTTTCAATGATACATATGTGAATTTGCTCTGGAGAATTACATCACGCTCACTTAAGTGTACAGAAATTCAGCTCTACCCATCTGACTAAAGAGTAAAAAAGGCAGTCAGTACAAGTACCACTAAATTTCCAAATTTTAGGGAATTAGTATCTAGTTGGTATTAATGCTAAGGTCTTCCTGCTCTTCCCCAACAGTGGTAAGCTTTACTTTCTTTCTTTCTTTTTTTTTTTTTTTAAAGATTTTATTTATTTATCTGACAGAGAGAGAGAGAGCGAGAGCAGGAACACAAGCAGGGGGAGTGGGAGAGGGAGAAGCAGGCTTCCTGCCGAGCAGGGAGCCCGATGTGGGACTCGATCCCAGGACCCCGGGATCATGACCTGAGCCGAAGGCAGACGCTTAACGACTGAGCCACCCAGGCGCCCCTAAGCTTTACTTTCTTAAAAATCCATTTTGTTTGACAATTTTATGAAAACTTGAGAAATTCTTAATTTAGAACTAGTACACCTAGAAATTGTATTAGGTGGAAATGCCTCCAGTTTTTTAGTTAAAAATCAGAGAAGCCTAGGCAACCTAATATTAAACCTATTTTTCATAGAATCACTTAAGATTGTTGGAAAAATTCAAATTTTAGGTGAAAATATGGTATTCTAGGCTATGCGTGATATAGTAGGAGAACTAATATTTTTATTTCCTGTTGGTGAATTTTATTGAGAGAATTGCATAAACAGTTTTTAAGACAAAGATTTGAATGTCAAAGTAGTAAATATCATAAGAAAAGCATCCTTATGTTTGATGTTTTTGGAAAATACTGCTTTAGCTCTTGGCATCGAGCCCCCCCGCCCCCCCCGAATTCGGTGAAGTGCTTTGTGATTTAGGTTTGCATCTAAGAATTAGATCCGTGTATTTAATTTTCACTGTGGATGCAGCTCTTAGTGCTGTACTTTAAAACATTTCTCGTCACAAACTTTAATTCCCAGGGTGTTTTATTTTTTCAAGTCTGAGTTATGAATCTTTCTTTGAAATACAAAAATGTATCACAATTGATAGCGTTATCAGAGAATGAATTCTTTTCATACTCCTTTTAATATCACATTATTACTCTGCCAAATGTAAAATATGTCTCAGCTCTTTAAACAGTGAGTCCTCGGAGGAGCTGATGGGCACAGGGAGTAAGCGTCTGTCCTTAAGTGCTGTGTGAGGGCCTGTCCCTCCCTCCCTCCGTGGCCGCTGTGTGTGCTCCGTCCGGCCTTGCCATCTACCACCTGCCGTCCCTCATGCTCTCATGAAGCATCCTCACTCATGTTATAAGACCTTTGAATGTAGTTTCACAGAACAGTTGTGGTTTTCTTTGTTTTGTTTTTATGAGGGAGGGGGTGGGGAGGCTTGTTT